AAGAAAGAAGAGGAAGAAAGAAAAAGAAAAAAAAAAAGGAAAGGAAGAAGCTGGAATAGAATTATTTTATTTTATTTTTTAAAAATATAAATAATAATAATATGTGTTGGCATGCATTGTAATAAAAAAAAAATTTTATGTGGACACGTTTTTAATTTGTTTTTGCCACGTCATCAAAAAAACTATAAAAAATGCCACATAAGCAAGTTAACGGCCCAAATTAACAGAAGGACTAACGGAATGCATTTCGTATAGTTAAGGGATCAAAAAAGTGCAAAATTTTGTTGAGGGATCAAAAATGTTCATTTCGTAAAATTGAGGGACCAAATTTAGCATTTAACCTTATCCAAATTGCAGGTTGTTGTTAGTTGGTTAAATGTTAAATTTGGTCCCTCAACTTTAGTGAGTTGCACATTTTTGGTCCCTCAACAATTTTTTGCACTTTTTTGATCCCTTAACTATACGAAATGCACTCCGTTAGTCCTTCTGTTAATTCGGGCCGTTAACTCGCTTATGTGGCATTTTTTATAATATTTTTATGATGTGGCAAAAATAATTTTAAAAAACGTTGATGTGGAATTTTTTTTAAGTCAACTCACTGCCAACTCACTGCCAACTCATCAACCAATTTTGCCTTAATAAAAAAATAAAAAATTACAAATTTACCCCTCTCCCCCCTTTTTGATCCATCTTCTTCCCCTCTTTCGATCATCTTCTTCCCCTCTTTCGATCATCTTCTTCCTTTCTTCTTTTTCTTTTTCTTTCTTCCTCTTCTTTCTTCCTCTTCTTCCTCTATGTCTGCTGGGTTCCGATGGGACCCAGCAGATCTGGGTTCGGTGGAACCCAGTTGGCTGGGTTCCGTGAACCCAGCTCCACTTTTTTGCATTTTTGTTTTTTGTTATATGTTGGTTTGCTCCAAGACATTATATGTTTGTTATATGTTCAAAATGGAAATGGAAAGAACAGAAGCAGTTGGGCAAAGAAGCTTAGTGTGTTTTCATTTGTTTGGCTGGAAAATGGTATAGTTTGGGTGTTTGGATGCTGAGAAAATGCTTTGAATTTGGGTGTTTGGATGCTAAGAAAATGTTTTGAATTTGTTTGATTGGCGAGATTGGTTACTGAGAAATTATAATGGCCGTTAAAGAAAAAAAATTTAATGAGAAAATGGTGATTTAATTATAAATTAATTTAGAATTTTAATTTTAATTAATATAAATAATTATAGTTTAATG